GATTTCAGACCCAAAATTTGAGATTTCTGACCCAAATTGGGGATTTCAGACCCCAAATTGGAGATTTCAGACCCCAAATTGGAGATTTCAGACCCCAAATTGGAGATTTCAGACCCAAAATTGGAGATTTCAGACCCAAAATTGGGGATTTCAGACCCCCAATCGAGGTTTTGGGATCAATTTGGGATTTTTTGGGATTCTGGGCTCGTTTTTTGGGTGTAAATCTGGGAAATTCTGAATGGGGGCAAAACTTTGGCAATTTTTTTGGACCCAAAATCTCCTTTTTTTCCCCCAAAAGCGCGACCTGGATTTCACCATCGACCTGGACTTCAAGGGGCAGCTCTGCGAACTCTCGTGCTCCACCGACTACCGCATGCGTTAGGGACCCCAAAAACCCCCAAAAACACCCCAAAACCACCCCAAAAACCCCCAAAAACCCCCAAAAACACCCCAAAAACCCCCAAAAACCCCCAAAACCACCCCAAAAACCCCCCCAAAAACCCCGGGATTGGGGCCACCAAAATTCCCAATTTTCACCTCCAAAATCCCCCCCAAATTCCCAATTTTGGGATTTTTTTCTTTCGTTTTTTGGGGTTTTTTTAAACCCAAATTTTGGGGTTTTTTGAACCAAATTTTGGGATTTTTTTCCTTCATTTTTTGACCCAAATTTTGGGGTTTTTGACCCAAATTTTGGGATTTTTTTCCTTCATTTTTTGGGGTTTTTTTTAACCCAAATTTTGGGGTTTTTAACCCAAATTTTGGGATTTTTTTCCTTCATTTTTTGGGGTTTTTGACCCAAATTTTGGGATTTTTTTCCTTCGTTTTTTGGGGTTTTTTTTAACCCAAATTTTGGGGTTTTTTGACCCAAATTTTGAGGTTTTTAACCCAAATTTTGGGATTTTTTTCCTTCATTTTTTGGGGTTTTTTTTAACCCAAATTTTGAGGTTTTTAACCCAAATTTTGGGATTTTTTTCCTTCATTTTTTGGGGTTTTTTTAACCCAAATTTTGGGGTTTTTTAACCCAAATTTTGGTTTTTTTTTTTTTTTGTTATTTTTGGGTTTTTTTGCACCTCAAGATTTGAGGGGTTTTGACCCAAATTTGGGATTTTTTGGGG